TCTAAGGCATTATCACTGCGAAAAGTGCGAATGGAAACACCAAATTGATTTCTAATTTCAGCACAAAAATTCTGGAATATAGAAAACAACTCAGAACGATCTTTCATTAAGAAAATCCAAGTACATCTTGAATGATCATCAATAAAACTAACAAAATAACGAAATCCCAAGGTTGAACTGACTCTACTAGGACCCCATATATCAGAGTGAACTAAAGAAAAAATAGACTCTACGTGACTCTCAATACTACGAGGATAGGAGGCTCGGGTATGTTTCTCGAGCTGACATGACTCACACTCTAATGTGGATAAACTAGACAAACCAGGCACCATCTTCTGAAGCTTGGATAAGCTTGGATGTCCTAAACGTTTGTGAATTAGGTCCGGAGGATCTGTAACTAGACATGCCTTGGAGGATTTTAGGGAGTTAAGGTAGTAAAGCCCTTCTGATTCAAGTCCTGTTCCAATCGTCTGTCCTGTACTGCGGTCCTGCATAATAAAAGAATCATCAATAAAATATATACCACAATGGAGGGCACGAGTCAAACGACTAACAGATGCAAGATTAAAAGGACAGCCAGGGACATAGAGAACGGAATCTAGAGTGACAGAGGGTAGGGGATTCGCTTGTCCAACTCCTTTTGCTTTGGTTTGAGACCCATTGGCTAAAGTAACAGTGGGAAGAGATTGTGAATACGCAATATTTGACAAAAGTGATTTATTACCAGAGATATGATCAGAAGCGGCTGAGTCCACAACCCATTGTCCAGGAGGACTAGACTGGGAAACACAAGCAAAAGAATTACCAGCAACAGAAGTATTAGTCTGAGCAACAGAAGCTACTTGTGGAGATGTCTGCTTACTTGCTCGATACTGAAGGAACTCATTATACTCCCCTTCAGATAAAGAAAATCCCTGGTTACCTGTAGTCTCAGTCTGAGCAACATAAGCATTTTTGGTTGGGTGGCCATGTAAAGAATGGCATACATCACGAGTGTGTCCAAGTTTATGACAATAAGAGCACTTGGGTCTAGATCTTCTAAAACGACCTCCTCCTCATCTATTCTCCATAGTATGAGATGCCCAATTGTCCACTGATTGGGATACGAGGACAGAGGAGTCAAGTGTCTGTGATGAGCTCACTGGGTGACTAGGTGCTGCAGCAAGGCGAAGTAATCGAGAGAATAATTCATCAACTGTGGGGACGGTTGGACTAGCCAAAATCTGGTCACGTACTGAATCAAGGTCATTAGGGAGTCCAGCGAGTGTAAGAACTAGAAACATCTTCTGTCGTTGCTCTTGTTGTTTTTCAATACTAGCAGAAACTGGCATCAACGTCTCAAATTCTTCCATGACTGCCTGAACTTGTCCCAAGTAAGTAGACATATCTAATTCCTGTTTCTTCAAGCTTGTCATTCGCGATATTACATCATAGAAACGAGATATGTCATTAGTGTATAGATTACGAGCCTTTTCCCAAACTAAATAACATGTCTGGAATGGACGGAACAAGGGCATCAACTTGGAATCAACAGATCGCCACAGGATACTACATAACTGAGCATCGACCTTCTCCCACTGTGTTTTGGCCTTTTCATCACCTTCGCTAGCCTTTTTTGTTAAATGATCTTGAACTCCTTGACCTTTACACCACAACTCGACAGATGAAGCCCAATCTAAGTAGTTTGAACCTCCCATTAAAGGTTCTGAGGTAATCATAACACCGGAACTGCCAGAACCCGGGTTTCTAGACCCGAAAGCATCGACTCCCAAAGACATGGTTGGATTATCACCAAATAACAAAAAGAATCAACTGAAAATTCTCTGAAACAGATGAAGAAAACACTGTGTTTGCCGGAAAAGTACTGTAGCTGCCGGAAAAATCAGTGTAGTCGCCGGAAAAACTCAAAGTGGTCGGAATTGAAAAATAAAATTATGGGTAGGCTCGGAATTTGAGGCGATCCAACTGCCCTGAAGGAACTTCGTCAAAAAATGGCCGGAAAGTGGTGCACGCGCCGGCGCGTGGAGGCGCGTGGGGTACTGTTTGCCGGAGATTTTTTGTGGGGTTTGGTCGCCGGACAGTGGCGACTCTTGTGGTAGTGTTGGATTTTGCACAACACTGACAGAGACAAAGCAGACGCAAACAGGCTTGAAAAAGTCGCCGGAAAAAAGGGTTCCGGTGACTGATTTCTCTTCCCGGAATCGCTGGAATTTATGCACAGCGATAAACCTCTCACAATTGCTCTGATACCATGTGAGAATGCACGGGAGAAAATATATTATTGATGTATTGACATGTGTTACAATGAGCCCTATATATATACACACACATAACATGTCCTACTCCTAATATATATTGGATTAGGGTTATTTATTTACTCCTATTTACATGACTATTCTAACAAAGAGTACTTCACTATAAACTCCATTTATAGGAGTATTTTTAGGACTACGAATATTAGTTTTTGTTATAAATTTTTTGCTTTACGGTTTCCTATTTTTGTTTTTTGTAGTTCCTTTTTCTAGGTTATGGGTACTTTTTTGGTTATAAAATTTTTACGTTTAATAGTCCTTATTTTCCTTTTCTTTTTTAGAACTCCTTTTCTTTGTTTATTGGATCTATACCCTATTTTACCTAACATAGATCCTTTCCTTTTTTAATTACATAGGCAAATACTTCTATAAATAAGAAAAAGTTTGTATTCCTCATCATCATAGGTTAGCTTTCATTATTGGATCTCTAGCTTCGTGAGTTTTCAGTTTTCTTTTCTTTAGAAGAAATATTTTATATTTATTCGTGCTTGAATTTTTGGCTTTCTAATCGTGATGATTATTTTCTAGGTTATGTTTAATTCTCGGTATATGATGAATAAGTGCTTCAACTATGTTAGCATGCATGCCTTTTCTTTTAGGAGTTTTATTTATAAAGTAGGTATGTTAAGCTGAATAGAGGGAGTTTTTATATTCTTATATAAGTTTTGTTGTAATTTGTTGATTCGTTTGATGGAACGATTAATAGGGTGGTGAGTCGAGTTTACTACTTAATTAACATTAGTTGCTTTTACTAATTACTTATTTTACGTGCTTGACATATTGTACAGATCCATTAGTTAGAATTAACTATCTTTTTTTCTTAATGTGAGTTTTTTATAAATAAATAAAAGAATTGATAGGTTGATCAACTTCAAGTACCATTAGTACAAAAAAGGGTGACCATAATAAAATAAAATTGCTTCGTCCCTTTATTTTTGGAATCGTATTTTAGACAATATTTATGGTGCTATGTTTTATCGCACTACCATACACTAGAAAGTCAGCGCATGACTTACATAATTCATTTGGTTCAATAAAACTATGAAATGATTATGACTAGAAAGTTAGTGAGTAAGAGAAGAGTATCGAAAGAGGAAATCAATGAAAAGGAAATATCTTTCATTTAATTACTGTAGGGCATCACAAGATTCCTTATATGCGTTGAACCCACTGAGTCACTAAATAACATTGATCTTTATCATTTTCTTGGGGAACTTGAATTATTTCTTATTATTTAGTTTATAATTCAAATTCATTTGTTAATAATATTTATATAATTTTCTAAAAAAATTCTGTACTCGCTAACATACAAGCGCAATGTGCCTCGAAAGTGCTTAGCGAATTGTCATTTGTGTTGTTTACTCTTAAACCTCACATTAGACAAAATCGCAATTTAGCTCGATATATATATATATATATATATATATATATATATATATATATATATATATATATATATATATATATATATTAAAAGCAAGGACACTTTTAGCAAAGTGTCGTTCGTCTTTTCACCCTTTAAAAATATATTTCACTTTGGATGGATATAATTATAATTTAAGTGACTTTTCTAATATTTAGAACTTCAAAATAAACTAAATTGTTGTTATTAAATCTTTCCTTATTGAATTAGGTCCTAATATTTAGGAGTTTAAATCCAATTGAGATTTTACCTCAAATAGGAAAGGATCCCTTCTGTTTAAAATATTATTCTAGAACTCTAAAAGATCTAATACACAAGGTTCCTTTACAATAAAAATTACTTTATATAATACAAATAGAATATATAAACAGAAATATAATGCGCAAATGGTTTCATTTATATAAACACAAGAACTTCATTTTCGTAGCTACCTATATAAATTTGGTAATAAAGCATAAAAATTATATGCTTTATAGTATCACGACACATTATATTTATGACACGTGTCTTTATATTTAATATTATTACTAAATTATAGTTAATCAATACACATTTTTACTTTAGTTTATCATTTAATCAAGGTAAATTTTTGTAGTTCAGTCTTCGTATATTGAATGAATTTTTTTTCTTCAATATATTGACCTTGACTGAGAATCTATTGTGGCTGTTTCCTCCCTTATTGAGTTAGCTATATAGAATCAATGTTTTTTATTTGCAGGACTCACATTTTACCTTTATAACTCAAATATAATTTTAAACAAAATATTTATATAATTTTTTAAAAAGCTTTTACTCATTAGACAAGATACACGTGCAACGCGCGTACTATTGACTAGTATATATAATGTGTGTGTGTGTGTGTTCTATTGGTCCATATGCCTTATTCATCGTCTATACCACAGGTTCAACGATCTGTTAGCAGTGGTTAACATATTATGAGACAAAGTCCACAATCTAAAAGAATCTGGTTAAAGAGTAATACTTTTGAGGAACCACACCAGCTTGGCAGATTAGTCAATCTTAGCATGTTCCGCTTCTATATTTGCATAGGCTAGTTGTTGCAAAATTCCTTTTGCTATTTAAACTCCTGTGTCTTTATTAGGGTCTGCTGAGTATCTTGTCCTCTCCTTTTTCTTAGTTGACTCTAGAATTTGCTTGGTTTCTAAAGTTTACTGAAGAAGAACATTGATTTCTTATCCATATTTGGTTAAAGTTTGAGCGAGGTAGCCTTAAGAGTAATCTTTTAACTTGGATTTACTCATAAGTGAATGAAAATTGAACCTTGAAAAGCTGAGCTTTTTCTTCTTCCGAATAAGATTACAAACAGGAACATACATTTTTTGCGCTATCTAGACATGGTGAGTTCCCAAAGATTCCCTCAAGTTCATATAAATTAAGGGATCAAAAATCATTTTTAGCTAGCTTTAGTACAGAAACAACGTATATGAAACCATGCAACTCTTAAGAGAGTACAAGTTTATTCAGGAAATACAGAAAAATGATATCTCCACCTTGCCTTCTCTCAGCGAAGGGAAACCTTTCCTGGAATTCCACATTTTTTGAAACACAACAACCCAGTCTTATTTGGAAAACTAAAGTAGGAAACCATGCAACGCTCACCACTTGTCATAATCTCTACCTGTTTCAGCCATCCTTCTCTTTACCTTCTTTCTGATCTGAGCTACTTGCGCCCGAGGAATCGGTATAAAACACCTTATAGCTACGAAGTGGTAGCTGTTGGACGTATGACCTTATGAGATCAACATAGAGAGGGAATTGATTAAATGCAAAAAACACCACAGGTATGCATGTCACCCCGTATATTGGAAATGATGCTTTCTTTAATTTATCCTGGAGGACAAAGAAATGCGCAGCGCAGAATGAGACCAAGATAGCAGTTATTGATGCAAAAAGCGAAGTTAATCCTAGTAGCAACTTTCTTGGCAAGTCTTTCTCGAAATCACTGTGTTGGCATCGAGATGTGAGGATAGCTAGAAAAAACACCAGGGCCGTGACAGAGAAGCAAAGAGAAACAAGTGATGAAATAGAAAATACTGAAAAAGCAGGTTGACTTTCAAGGTGTGGACGGCCATAATCATCGGCTCCACCTGGGACTGCAGAAGCTGTAGCGAATGCAACTGTAGCAATCAGTGCTGCAACGACAGAGAACGAATTTGAGGTTGTGACAAGCCACTCAGTGCCTTCTTTGAGTAACTTTGCATGCGTCTCTCTGAAGATCTCTCTTGGTGTCTGACCTTTTTTATTATAACGGACATATGATTGCTTTGGCAAAGTGTGCTTCACATACTGCATTATGATGGGTAAAATTCTTTTAACATATCTAAGTTTAATCCTTACTGATGTAAAGAAGGATGGTTGTTAGAGATCTCTTACCTTGTACCACTTCCTTTCGCCTTGCAACTGTAACGCAGTACCAGGGATGCGCCACAAGTCGTTCTTCTGAAACGATGCAGCTAAGTGTACTGCATTGTTTTCTTGTTTGTCCACATGATAAAACACGCATTCTGGATACTTTTGTCCTATTAACCAGTTATAGACAGCTGTTTGCCTATGCTCTACAGCCAAAAGCAAGATATTCTTCTCGTCAGAATCCGTATCTTGAATGGCTATTGGGAACTTTTTAAGGATCTCCTTCACCATCTCTACGATACCCATCTTTGATGCCACTAATAGGGGTGTCGCCTTGGTCTTCGGCAACTCTGCATTTAGAACTATAGTTACTCTAGTTGCTTTTAGGGAACATATAGCTAGCTTCAAAGAAAATTGATCCTAACTTGGAATATTAGAACAAAATTTACAGCATTTTGACGTGATAGATTTTGAGTTTTTAAAATTGCAGAATCTTGATGACACAGAACTAAAGTTTTCAGTGCCACACAAGTATGACCAGAAAGAGACAAGAGATTCTTTTACCAGACTTGATATGATCTTTCTTTTTGTTATCTGTGCTTGAGGTTGCTGGTTGCTTGATCTGTGCAATGTTACTAGGTTCTTCTGCTTTTTCTAAATTAATATCTGTTGGAGGGGGTGCTGGAGGAGGTTTTCCAATTTGTTTATAGAGGCCTTGATCATAGAGGTCCTTATCTTCAGGCTTCTCCCCGGTATTTTCATAGAATTTGTAACTTTCTTCTTTCTCAATCATCAACTCCATAATTTTAACTGCCCATTGATGGTGCTTCTTCTTTTCCTCTAATTTCTTTGTCCTCTGGAGTCCTGCATGCAACAAGATTTGGGACCTTATGACATGATGTGGAAAGAAAAGAACAGAAAAGAAAAGGCAAACTTGTTAAAGTTTCATGAACAAATTTAAAATGTGAAAAAGGATGGGATTGCTGAAGAGTCATTTTTAAGGGTCTAGGCCTTGCACCCAAGGATAGTGGTCAAAGAAGTGAAGAATCATGAGGTCTCAGGTTCAGTTCCCAGCGGAGGCAAAAAACCCTAAGTGATTTCTTTCCATTTGTCAAACCACTTTCTTTCTTACTTTCTCATAGAAGTTTATGTTCTAATCTGCAACTGTAATCTGCACTCAATAGTTGAGAAATGTATGCATGATTGAAGAGAAATGTTTTAAGAAAATCTTACCAATACCCATTACAATTAGCACAATCTTCATTAGTAATTTAACGAAATTGATAAAGGTGGTGTAGTTGGCTGGAAATAGGTTGCCATTTCTCTTCCCTTGAGCTGAAATTTCAGAGATTAGTTATTAGCACAAATATGTTGGAGAATTTCTTGATTTTTTTATCATTGCTCTTCACCTAGAAAATGTTCACATAAATTGGAAATAAGTTAGCTCAATGCTTTGATTTCAATTATTGGAAGCTAAAGAATACTCGAAAACAGAATAAGCAACAAAAAGCCTTTCCCAAAAGAAAAGTTGAAGGGAATATGTTTTGAAAAATGGCATGTAAAGAATTATTGGTGTAACTAACTATATGAAGAGGCTCAAGAAGTAACACACACACACACATACATACACTCTTCCTGTTTTAATTTAGTGTGCTACTAATCTACTAATCCATTAATAATAGATTTTTTATTCGTCCAATAGATGTTCATTCTAATTCTTGGTGGATTTACTCCGGTTCCTCAATTTGTTTGACAAAAACCTGCTTAAGTCGACATATTCTGAATGGTTTATACGTAATCACATATCTCGAGACTTCTTTTCTTGATTCACATTGGTTACTCCAGTAGTTGCTGGAATAGAAAAGATAAATCAGTCTTTGAATGTGTAAAATTCTTAGGTACAAAGTGTCAACAACGCACTCCTAATGAGATGCTCAAATCATTTGGTAAGTTCATTTTCCAAAAGAGATTGGTCTACTTCTTAATTTTGATATAATGAGTTAATAAACTGGTAGGTTCCTGCATAATCACATGCACCTTTTCTTCTTGGTTATTTGTGTGCATATTTTGATGGATTATATTTAATCATCATAGTTGGAGGTAACATTTAGTTTCAACTGCAGTGTATACATGTGTATGCATTCACCTGGGGCTGGGGGATTCTCGGGTTCATCTTGATTGCCTTGGTGTGAAAAAAGAAAAAGAAAAATAAGTTAGTGTAACCAGAATAAGCAACGAAAAGCCTTTACAAAAAGAAAAGTTGAAGGCAATTTGTTTTGAAAAATGGCATGTAAAGAATTATTGGTGTAACCATATGAAGAGGCTCAGGAAGTATTCTTCTTGTTTTAATTAGTGTGCTACTTACACACGCTCTTCTTGTTTTAATTAGTGTGCTACTTACACACTCTTCTTGTTTGAATTAGTGTGCTACTAATCCATTTAATAAAGACTTTTCTAATTTGTCCAATAGATGTTCATTCTAATTCTTGATAGATTTACTCCGGCTCCTCAATTTGTTTGACAAACACTACCCAAGGATTCCAAAATAGGAAAGACACAGAGAAACGAACATAACCTCTATTAGGACTTGCTTTAAAGTTGAATATGTCTGATCTCTTGAGTTACTTTAGAAAACAAATAAAAATTATTTTCATAAATATATTTATATCTGTCTGCCAAATATCTAGTCTCAATTTCAAAACTTGTCAAATGTGGTCTGATGGAACTTTAAGTGATGGCTTAAGTGTGATTATGATCAAACCTTTAAGGGTGTGTACCTCACTAGTTACGGCACACATCGGTGCTCGTAAAGAGCAGCTATTAATAAAGCTTTAAGTTTTCTCATGACATAGAATAATTTACCATATCATGCTTTTGAAAATGCCACATTATATCTTTTTGATACTTGGTGTGTGTATGTTTAGAGGAATTACATCTAATCATTGTAGTTGGAGGTAATATTTATTTTCGACCGTGCTACATGTACAAGTGTTTGTATTTACCTTGAATTGTAGGATTCTTGGGATCATTTTGATGGCCTTGGTGTAGAAAAATATGTTAATATTAAAAAGAGTTATCCTCGTGATAAAAATCATATACCATAGATCTCTTGCCTCTTAAGTAACCAGCTTAAGTCGACATAACCTGAAAGGTTTATACGTAATCACATACCTGGAGATTTCTTGTCTTGATTCAAATTAGTTACTCCAGTAGTTGCTGGAATAGAAAAGAGAATCAGTCTTTGAATGTGTAAAATTCTTAGGTACAAAGTGTCAACAACGCACTCCTGATGAGATGCTCAAATCATTTGGTTAGTTCATTTTCCAAAAGAGATTGGTCTACTTCTTAATTTTGATATAGTGAGTTACTAAACTGGGAGATTCCTGCGTAATCCGATGCACCTTTTCTTCTTGATTATTTGTGTACATATTTTGATGATTTATATTTAGTTATCATAGTTGGAGGTACATTTAGTTTCAACTGCAGTGTATACATGCGTATGCATTCACCTGGGATTGGGGAATTCTTGGAATCATCTTGATTGCCTTGGTGTGAAGAAAAAATAAAAATAAGTTAGTACTAGTAAGAGTTCTCCTCATGAAAAAATATTATATATCATAGTTTCTGGTCGCTTTAGTCCATATAACCTGAAAAGTTTGTTACATATTCACATACCTGGAGACTTCTTATCTTGATTCACATTAGTTACTCCAGTAGTTGCTGGGATAGAAAAGAGAATCAGTGTTTGAATGTGTAAAATTCTTAGGTACAAAGTGTCAACAACGTACGCCTGATGAGATGCTCAAAAGAGATTGGTCTACCTCTTAATTTTGATATAATGAGTTAATAAACTGGAAGGTTCCTGCTTAATCAGATGCACCTTTTCTTCTTGATTATTTGTTTACATATTTTGATGATTTATATTTAGTTATCATAGAAGGGGAGCCTTGGCGTAACTGGTAAAGTTGCAGCCATGTGACCAGGAGGTCACGGGTTCGAGCCGTGGAAATAAGCTCTTGCAGAAATGTAGGGCAAGTCTGTGTACAATAGACCCTTGTGGTCTGGCCCTTCCCCGCACCCCACGCATAGCAGTAGCTTAGTGCATCAGGCTGCCCTTTATATTTAGTTATCATAGTTGGAGGTACCATTTAGTTTCAAGTTTCAACTGCAGTGTATACATGTGTATGCATTCACCTGGAATGGGGGGATTCTCAGGATCATCTTGATTGCCTTGGTGCGACGAAAAAAGAAAAATAAGTTAGTACTAGTAAGAGTTTTCCTCATGAAAAAATATATATCATAGTTTCGGCCTTATGGCCGCTTAAGTAACCTGGTTAAGTCCATACAACCTGAAAAGTTTATTACATAGTCACATACCTGGAGACTTCTTATCTCGCTTCACATTAGTTTCTTCAGTAAGAGCTGGATAGAAATGAGAATTAGTCTCTGACCATGTAAAATTCTTAGGTACAGAATGCCAGCAGGACTCTCCTGAGGCGCTTGAACCATTTGGTTAGTTCATTTTCAAAAAGAGATTGGTCAATTATTTAACTCAACATGAATGAGTTAAGAAACTGGAATGTTTCTATGTAATCACTTACCTTTAGACTTGTTTGCTTGCTTCCCACTACATATTTCCTTAATGTAATCTAGATAGAGAAGAGAATCAGTCTTGGTAATGTAAAATTATTAGGTAGAGTAGAAAGTGCCAACAACAGTCTCTCAAACACTTTTTTAGAGCATTTTCAAAAGGAGATTGGTTAAGTGCTTTCCGTAAACCCCAAAAGCAAGCGAACCATTCTCGTTTTGATTTGAGTGTTTGGGATTTCCTCCCTAACAATTTTTGTACATGTATAATGTACGATATAGATTAAATAAGACATTGATCATGTGCGGTAAATCTACCCACCAAGAAAATTTGCAGTCCCATTCCAAAGTAGTTCCAAGAACTCCACCAGTGTTTGGTAGTTATCTGGGAGTTTCCAGTTATCTGGGAGTCTACGATATGTGTCTTCTATGCCTTCAGTTTTATATTTCTCTATCTTTAGATCTTCGACAGTTATGCCTGGACAAAAAGAACCCCGATATGTGTCGGTGTATTTAAATCCTTGTAAAGGGCTTATCTATGACACTTTTTGACCAAAAAGATTATAGAGACTTACAGTAGTAGATAATGCTATCTATGTACCGAAAATGGCTTCCACTTTTGAATACTTGAGGCATCCTAGATAGAAAGTGTAGAGGAGACATGCCCTCTGAGTTTAAACGGTTCACAAGTAGCCCATAGCGATCTATTATCTGAAAAGCCAACTCTGTTACAAGAAAATTAAGTTGTTAATATCACTATCCCACAAGAAAGAAGACATTGTATACAAACTTATGTAACAAAATGTTTGATAATTAATAAGAAAAGGGGTTTTGGCTCTTACTAAAGTACTCGCCAGAGATGGCTGCATGTAGAATGTTATCCCCATCTCCCCTCCTGCAAAGTACAATTGGATCTTTTCTGCTCTTTTCATTTTGACAACACTCATGTAAGTAGAGAAAAGCATCTAGCCTGCCACGATAAGCAGCTACGAATAAAGGGGTTTCCCCTTTTGAATTGGTCTCCCAGATGAGTTCAGGTTCTTGTGGGTTTACCAAACACGCAATAATGGAGACACTTCCGAGTTCTGCTGCAAGGTGAAGAGGTGTGTTCCCTTTTTCATTCTTCTGTTTTAAGATACACAATCGTTTTTCCTTTGGTATTTTAGCCACCATATCCTTAATACAATCAAGATGAGTTTGCTGTAAAGAGTCATCTCGATGTGGATGGTAAGAAGAGATAGCTAAGTGAAGAACAGTATCTTCAGATTTAGTGAGTTTGGATTCTTGGGCAAACTTGTCGTTGATGTACTGTCGCTTAACTTCTGTCCACCTATTGTCCATGCAGGCTTGAAATAATTGATCTTTAGTTCTTTTTTTCTCCTTTTCTTCCAACTCATCGGAAGGTCGTCCCGTTCCCATTCCTAGTACCGAAATCTGTGGTTGAGTTTCTTGTTTTCCTGTTTCGCTCAACCCACCTGAAGGCTCCATTCTCACTACTTGTTTTAACTGCAGATTGTGTTTGATGCCACTCACCAGTCACCAATGGCTTTAATTTATACTGCTAGGAGGGGCATATTCTTGAGAAATATTTGTTCACAAGCCTCTATACTGGTGCATGTGCAATGGCTTTCTAATACCCAAAGTATTAAAGAATCTAATGTTTCTACACTCATGGTGGTGTAAAATAACTTTTATTCTATCATTTCACCTAAAAATAGTTACTAATAATCGGAGGCGGACCCAAGATTTGAAGGTCGTGGATATACTTTTTGATTCAACCAAAATTTGCTTTGTATATAGGGTAAACCACTATTATTATATCACTATTTTCTAAAAACATATACATGTATACATGAAATTTTTGCCGAACTTTACGGGTGTCGGTGACCCCTCTACCTATTGCATAGGTCCGCCTCTCTAATAACTGTTCATAATAAGTGAGCTGAATTTAGCTCATATACCAGAAATTTAACACCATCCCTATCAGTGTAATTTAATCTATTACTACAAGTGATTACTTTATTTCTAAGTCGATAAATACTGTAAGTGTTATTATAGTCCGTTACATGTTGTATGTCACTTTGACCTTGGTGTAGGAAAAAGTTCTTTTGCCGCCAGTGCATATAAGTTAAAACTCTAAGTGAAATTGGTGATATAAAAATAAAACAGGTGATCTCTTACCACGGGTTTGAAGACATGATTATGTAAAATTTTCATAATATTGTCAGGTACCTCTTACAATAGATTTTAGGTGAAGTTATAGTACTTTATACATATTGTCATTGCATACAAGGTAAATCCGATAATAGGTGTTGGACAAAATCACGAAAATACTTGTCGCCTAATTAACTTTTAAGCCTTAATAGTTTTTCTCTGAAAGATTCCTCGTGCAGACAAAAAGCTCACATGACTTCTTTTTTGTGACACTGTGTGGCTATTTATCTAAAAGTTTAAGTTGTTAAAGAGCGTACATTTTAGTTTACTTATTGGCTTAAACACACCCTTTCATCACGTGAAAATTCTTTGTGATAATGGGTGGCAGTGAGACTTGAACCTGGGACGCTTGACTGGTGTGATAATCTCATCTAAACGTTTAAGCTGTTAAAGATAGTATACTTTCTATTTACTTAATTTTATCTTCTACATTGTTAAGTGTTCTACATTGGTTGAAGATACGAGGAGTTGTCTCCGACAATCGTGATGGTATACTTTCTATTTACTTAACATTGTTAAGTGTTCTATATTGGTTGAAGATATGAGGAGTTGTGTCCGACAATCGTGATGGTATACTTTCTATTTACTTAATTTTATTTTCGACATTATTAAGTGTTCTATATTGGTTGAAGATACGAGTTGTTGTCTCCGACAATCCTCACATCACGAGCTAGTTGTTTGGGACGAGTTAGGTCCAATGTTCATTTTCTTTACACTTTTGTCATGCAAAACACAAGGGTAATCTCTTATCTCTTTGAAGCAAGACCTCTAGTCATTTGTTCCCTTCTTGCTGCTATCACTATGCATCTCTCTTTCGCTTTTGACTTTATAGTACACTAGAATTGCTACTCCAGCAGAAATTCTTTGTCCTGCTTGAATCATAAGCCTTTCTTGCTTTTTCATCTTATTACAGATCCGGCTGTTCTTTTGGAATAATAGCTTGTTACTGTATACTGGTTTAACCTCACAATGATCTAATTGCTATACTCGTTTGATAAATACTCTCCTTTATGATTACAGTAGTATGAGTCGAGGGTCTACTAGAAACAACCTCTATACCTCACACAAGGTAAGGGTAAGGATTGTGTACAACCTACCCTCTCTAGACCCCACTTGTGGGATCACACTGGCCTATGTTGTTGTTGTTGTTGTTGTTGCTCTGTGTGATTATAGTGGTGTAATCTTGCACTGCTGGTATTCGAGAAGTCGCTTCCTGTAGAGTTGAAAAATCGAGAGATCTTTTATGTTATATATATAGACAAGAACCATATAAAAATAAAAATTTATTGGTTGACAAGTTTCAATATGCAAATTGTGTGACTCGTGAATTTCATGGGAAGTACTTATTTTCTAATCTATCTTCACAGGTAGGAGTAAGGTATGCATACACACTACATTTCATAGATCCCGCTTGTGGGATTATATTGGATTTTTTTTTGTTGTTTGTAAATCCATAATGTGGCAGGGCGAAAACTGGATGTTGGACATAAAGATATGCATTTTATTTGGTATATTCTTTGCTCAAATATTATGTTATTCTCCTTTTAGTTTCTTTCTCTACATTTTTCTGTACTTCGAGGTATCGTAAATGTCGAGTTTCAACACTTTGGCTGCACTTTTTTTTGACCTTTTTTCTGCGTAAAGGGTTAAGGAGCATCCATTTTATCTGCACTTTAGCTTTTTTTAACCAAGGAGGCAAAGGATCCAAATGTGTTTGAATAAAACATTTCCCGGTATTTGGGGAATGGGAAATCTTTCTGGAGAAAAACTTGTATTAGAGATTGTTAATAATGTTTAGCAAATTGGATAATGTTTTTATGACACTTATGAGCAGTTTGATAACAATTATTTATGGTTGATTAATCAGTGATAATCTGAAGTTAAGAGTTGAGATAACTGCGGAAAAAATGATTTTCCTTCCAAAAAGTCATTTACCATCTTGTGAGAAAAATTTCTTCTGGAAATTAAACAGCAAAACATTAATTTAAAGGCAGTCCGGTGTACAAGGTACTCCGTGTTCCCGCAGGGCCGGGAGAAAGGTCGCATAGTGGCACCTTTCACGGGTCGAACCCGTGATCTATAAGTCATATGAGAGATAATTTTATCGTTGGTTCAAGGTTTCCTTCAAACAGAGGCGAAGGTAGGATTTGAACCTTATGGGTTCGAGATTATAATCCTTTTAAGTTACTGGTTTTAAATTAATAATTTATATATATTCGTTGGATTTCTTAATACAAACACAAGGTTTGAACAAAAATTATTGGGTTGGCCGGCTCCGCAAACAGCACTGTGGCACCGCCCCTGTCTTCAAACAGCAAAATATTACCGTACTTAATATTTGGAGAAACATTTTAATACATAGTAAAGAGAGAGATATGGAGCTCAGAACTCTCAATATTCACTTACTTCTTTTTTCCTTTAGAATGTCCATAGGTTAACATCATTCTAGTCTTCTTTTTTACAATTCTTGATATGAAAGGAAAGAATAAATGAAGTTGTTGAAAGCAAATGATTAGTAACATTGAAGGACCCGTAGTTAGCGGCGGATGTAGCTCTTCGGTAATATTTGTTATGCAAGAAATAAATATAAAAGGGCAGTCTGGTGCAAAAAACATCTCGACATTCACGTAGCGTCTAAGGAAAGGCCGCACTCCAAAGAATGTCTGAGGAAAGGCCGCACCCCAAAGAATGTGATAAAGAGAATCTACCCTAATACAATTAGTGATTGTTTCTAATTCTAACCCACCACTTGCGCAAGTACAAGAAGCTGTAATTCTAATGCAAACACAATACTTCTGAATGGTCATGCAAAGACAATACATTGAAAGTTTTTGGTTATTAAAACCAAAAGTTATCGATGTGGTTATTTTGCACAGAAACAGAAGAAGCAGAATCACTTTTTAGGGTGGTTTTTTAACTTTCGGTCTCCGTTTGTCCCATGGACAGAACTTTAAAGTCAAGAGTTAAAAGTATTGCGCATGAGCCAAGCGAGGGGTAATACTTATTAAACTTAAAGTTCTGCCCATTGAGCAAGCGGAAAAAAAAAATCAAGACCATCTACTTTGAGGGCTATTTCTGTACTTCAACCGTTATTTTGGTTCAACCAGAAGTCACCCAAATACATTGTTGTTTATGGGCCAGTTGCATCTAAGTCCAAGACTCCAAGCCATAATTGGATTGTTGTTTATAGGCCAGTTGCATCTAACAAAAACGTCAAAATAGCACGGTATAGCCAATTTTCGGACTGGTCATTTAAAAATAGCCAGCATTTACCAAGTCAATGAAAAATAGCCATTATTTTACTGCAGCAGAGACCGGTCCAGCATAATATACTGGAGTTCGGTGCACCTGTGTATGAACTCCAGTATATTATGCTGGACCGGTATACTTTGCTGGCTCCAGTATAATATACTAGAGACTGGAGCACCAGTGCTCCAAACTCCAGTATATTATGCTGGACCGGTATACTTGCTGGAACTCCAGTATATTATGCTGGAGTTCTAGTGTACTTATGCTGGAACTCCATCATATTATGCTGGAGTTCCAGCATACTTATCCTGGAACTCCAGTATAATATGCTGGAGTTCAAGTATACTTATGCTGGAACTCCAGCATAATATACTGGCGTATTTTTCCGGGTTTTGAACAGTGTTTTCGCTCAGATTTATCTTTACATGAAAAGTGGCTAAATTTCGATTACTTTTGAAACTGGGCTATTTTTGAACGACCAGTTATAAATCTGACATTTTTTGAATTTCTCCCAACAAAAATAGATCATCCAAGCTGTGTTTTGAGTAAAAATAGCACGGTCTAGCAAGTTTTCGGACTGGTCATTCAAAAATAGTCAGCTTTTACCAAGTTAATGAAAAATAGCCACTATTTTGCTGCAACAGAGACCGGTCCAGCATAATATACTGGAGTTCGGTGCATCTGTATGAATTTCCAGAATATTATGCTGGAACTCCAACACACGGAAAGTTCCAGCATAATATACTTGAGATTCGAGCACTTGTGTATGAACTTCCAGCATATTATACTGGACCGGTATACTTTGCTGGAACTCCAGTATATTATGCTGGAGTTCTAGTGTACTTATGCTGGAACTCCATCATATTATGCTGGAGTTCCAGCATACTTATCCTGTAAACTCCAGTATAATATACTGCAGTTCAAGTATACTTATGCTGGAACTCCAGCATAATATACTGGCGTATTTCCGGGTTTTGAGCAGTATTTTCGCTCAGATTTATCTTTACATGAAAAATGGCTAAATTTCGATTACTTTTGAAACTGGACTATTTTTGAACGACCACTTGTAAATCTTGCTATTTTTGAATTTCTCCCGTGTTTTGATATCTTAAAAGCAAAAAAGAGAAACCACCAAGTATGTGTGTGTTCTTGATCTGGTAATAACCTTCAGCCAATTGTAAATGGATACATCCTTAGTTATAAATATTGAGATCAGATTATTTTCAATGAAGTGCATCTAATATAATGTCCATATCTCAATTGATCAAGACCATCATTTTCTAATAACCCTTCTTGAATCTTGACCATATTCTCAGGAAATACTGATTTTGAAGAGCTGGATGCTTGAGATGCATTAGCCTTGTCTAAATTACTAGCAGAAATGGCTCGTATTTTCGACTCGAGAAGGGAAGCTATTGTACCATTCATGGAGTTATTAGCCTTTAATTGATGCTTCAAATCTGGGAAGTTGAAATGTGCATAATCTCCCCTTAGCATATATGCTGTTGTATCATATGCAAAACCTGCTGTATCAAACGTCCCTAACCATACCCTTGTTCTACTACTTGGTAACCTTATTTAAGGTCAAAAGTTAAAAGTATTATTTATGAGGTAAGTGAGAGGCAACACTTGTTAAATACTTCATTGAAGTTCCGTCCGCGGAGCAAGTACGGTTAAAAAGTCAATAGTGGCACTGAAGTGTCCTATTTGTGCAAATCACCCTTTTATTTCTTAGTTCTGGTAGCTCCCAGTCCCACGGACCAGGTCTTCGAGTTTCAACTTGGACTCATTATTACAATCCAATTTGGAATAGTCCATCGGTGCAACAAGCCCTTTTGTTTTGGGGTATTATCACTTTTAACCTTCGTCGGAAATTATTTACATTTGGTAGTCGAAAAAGTGTATAAAACTTGTATAATTTTTGTATATAACATACAAAATGTGTATATATATACAAATTTTATATATTTTTTTTGGCTAATATTTTTATAGCGGCTATACATTGTCATTTTTCCATTTGTTTCCATGTGGAATAGCCCATCCGTGCAACGAGCCCACGTAAGCTAACTCTCCAAAAAAAATTGCAGAAATATGACATTTTTTGGGTGGTCTTTAATTTTTGACCTCTGCTTGCCCCATGAGCAGAACTTTAAGGTCAAAAATTAAAAATATTTTTCATGAGACAAACGAGGCACAACACTTATTAAACTTGAAGTTTTGCCCATGGGCAAGCGGGGATAAAAGTTGAAGACCATCCACTTCAAGAGTTATTTGTGTACTTCAGCCCTGACTCTCAACTCTCAACCAACTTTTGTTTTGTTCATTTTTTTGGAAAATTATTAGAATAGGCTGCCTACACTACACTCCTTTAGGGTGCAGTCCTTCTCTGGATCCTGCATAAATACGGGATGCTTCGTGCACTGGACTGTCCTTTTATGTCTAACTTAGCAGCTGGCAACTAGCAAATGTGTGCTTAGAGGAGAGGCTTAGTTAAAGAAATGCTAGGCTTCATATTGTTTTGGTATCCAAAATTCACTTACTCAACTAAAGGGGAAAAAAAACTAAAGGGAAGAACCACTAAAGATGACAGTGTGTTCTCTCTTAAAACGGACTCAAATTTGAGCGCTCGAACCTGAAACATCTAAACTAAAAATAGAGGGATTTTTGCCATTCCATAGTATCCTTTTTGAAGGTGTCTATCCACATGTTCACCTTTATATGGGCCATTAAGTGGATTTATATTCAATTCAATAAAAATAAAATAAAATAGAAACACCTTGATTATGTCAACGATAATATTATACTATATCTTTTATACACAACGATTCTTTTTTGGGTTCCCCCTAGAAATATCAAGAATAGACTATATATCTGATCTCTTCTTTATAACATTGCTGGGCAATTATTTTCAATATAGAAATAATCTGGGCTACAGTTATATGTACGAGTAAAAAATTAGCAGCACTCGCGGTTACATTAACCTAATGAATACGTGACATCTATTTTCACATATTCTATCCATCACAATTTATGTGACGATTTTGGTTCGGCACGGGGTTTAAGGAATTTTTTTTAAAAAAAAAATTGTAGTCTAAAACAAATCATAGATATTTGTATGTTTAAAAATCATCTCATTAAAGTAATTAAAGTGGAAAATTTAAAGTTAAATTGTGTCTAAATAAGTATGGCATTCTTTTTTGAACAACTAAAAAGAAAATTTAATAGTATAGTTTGTTTTTATAGTAGTCAATGTATACGGT